TCTTCCTCCTGAGTGTATTCCCTCTTGCTGGGCTTAATTTAAAATGTGTCCTAGATGCACCTATTTTAATCTTGTTAGACTTTAGTACACACACACACACACACACACACACACACACACACACACTAAATAAATAAATAAAGATTAGATAGAACGGGCAACAAATGTGGTGACACCACTATCTTATCCCACTGTTGAAACAGAGTGCACATACTTCGAAAGAGGTTCCCACCACATACTGTATAAGGTACAGAAAGGGCCCACAAGATGACTCATCAGGTAAAGGACTTGCCACAAAAGTGTGAGGACCTGAGATTTATCCCTGGAACTCATGTAAAGGAGGGAACCAATTCCACAAAGTTGTCTTCTCTGTAAGTGCATACCCCCTCCCTCGCCCCCACAAAATAATGCTAACAAATACGTTAAGACTATTTTTTAAAGAAAATTGTTTTAAAATTAAGTTCACTTTAAAAGTGTAAAAGATGGTTAGGGAAGATGTATGTAAGCCTACTAGTGTTGAAAATAAAATAAATATATTTATTATAATTGTATTCTGTCCACTCATGAAAATATTTTGTGAGGTTATACACTAAACTATAAAGGAGCTATCAATACGGTGAAAACCATATCACAACTACAAAAGAGAACACAGCTAATCATAATAACCATTTACCTGTCATGTTCTGTAAATATATTATACTTTTCAAATGTTTAATAAACATCAATTCATTTTCATTCTCAAAACTGCTTTCTAATGTCTGCTACCATTATCCTAATTTATAGATGAGTAATTTTACATATAAAGTGCTAGATTTTGCTGATTTTGACAGCTCCAATAAATGGTAGAGGCAAAGTTTGAACCCATATTCCTTGGCTTTGAAGTCTATGTACTTACCTTTGATAGTAGTTACTGCAAATATATATTACTTTACAGTTTGAAAAATTATTTCTTAAGCTCAACTCCAAATAGCAGTAGCAGTAGTAATATTAGAATCAACAAACACATCACTAATTCTATGTAGAACCTGGCTACTAGCAAAGGAAGCCTTCCGTTCCCCATCCCACAACCTCACCACTGGACATCTTTTCCTATCCTTTGTATCCATAAAGTACCAGGGTCTTCCTCATACATGCACCAGGCTCTTCCTCATGCATGCATGAGGAAGTTCTCAGGATTCTAAAGGCCACACCAGTCCTCACACAGACGTCTATATTTATTTTCCTCCTTCTCTTCCATCTGATTTGCCCATGTTAGGAACAACCATTTCTCTTGACTAGTTGATAGTCATAAAACAGTAAAATAACTATTTGCTCTTTTTCGGTATCGCAAAGCTGGTTGATAGTCATAAAACAGTAAAATAACTATTTGCTCTTTTTCGGTATCGAAAAGCTGAACCAACCACATATGTCTGGATATAGGATGGATTATGTACCAATAGAACCTATCACAAATTGAAGATTCATAAAAGGAGAATTCAAATAACATGAAGAACATTGCAGCTTAACTTGGGCTATTTTACAGGCACCCCGAACTCTTATGTTATCTTGTATTTGGGGGGAAAAAAAAACTTAACAGAAAGTGCCCTGTACACTAAAGTGTGGCTATCACATGCCATGTGCTGAGCCCTGCACAGGAAGTGAAAGACAGAGCAGAGCGTGTTTGTGCTTTCCCGTGTTGCTAACAACAGTGATTGAAACGAGAACCAATATGAACACTACAGAATAAAGAATCTCATGGCTTCCCTGCCTAGGGGATGCTCGTCATTGGTATTCCTTTGACGATCTCAGATCTCAGTGTCTGCCCTGCCTCTGGGGAAGCTTAACATGTGTGTTGTTTTAAGGATCCCACAGAGCTTCCACAGAAGCTGTCATCTCTACAGCACTCTGGCAGCTGTCCTTCATCCTTGACTGTGAATGCTCACAAATGTAACATTAAATTTGATAAAAAAAATAGTTCCAATTCATCACCAGAGCCCCAAGAAGGATGCTTGCAGGTGACAGAAGTGGAGAATGGCAGAGAAACACCATACATTATGCCTTTAGCGCTCGGGGATATATTTCTGGTTATAAGAATTTAAATGTTCTTTTAGCCTCAGCTGCATGTTGGTTTTACAGCTGCCTGCTGACTGTGATGGTAGCTGCTGGCTGTGCTGTGCTACAAATATGTTTTGTAAAACTTGGTGTAAATCAAATACACAAGAAGTTTTAAAAAGGCGAGAAGGAGCTTGTTAAAACAAAACTCAGTGTCCACAATGCATTGTGGAGAGGTTGTTAGTTTAAGAACACAAGCAAACATCAAAATGTTTGGAGATCTGACCATAAAATGATGCAAGTTGAGCCTTTGTTCCTGTAGTAAACTTGAGTCAGAAGAACAAACAAAGATATCTAGGAGGTTGCTCAACTCTGAATTCTATGAGAAGGTTTTTGCTCTTGAAAAAAACCTTTGAAATTGAGTATCTTGACCAACATTTTCTATCAACAAAAGGCTCCCAGGGTTCACAGTTGTGACCAAGTTGCTAAGTAGCACTAGAAAAAAAAACTTTGTCATTTTTAATTTTTAAAAAAATCTATTGTAGTATGTTTTAATATGCAGCAACTGGAACCCATGGAGAAGAAGTCGGCATGGAATTGAGGACTGGAATTTAGAACTGGAAGGAATCTATATTTAAATCATGTTCTATACCTTTAAATATACACAATATTTAATAAAACTTTAAAATTTACTTCCCTATCTTTGTTGTTTCTGCTACTACTGCTGCCATTAGAATGCTTGTTTGGTATGTACAACCCCTGGGTTTGATTCCTAGTACTGCATAAATCTGAAAGTTGGGCATGGTGGCATATACTGGTAATCCCAGCACATAGAAGGCAAAGGTAGGAGGACCAAAAGTTTCAGGTCATCCTCAGCTGCTTAGATAATTCAAGGTCAACCTAACCTCAAAACAAAACCTCTATAATAAAAACCCTTACGGGTCCTCAACAGCTCTGGTCATGGCTGCTCACTACTGTGTCTCCCCTCACAAAGGGACCTTCCTCTTTTCATAGCCCATAGAACTAATGGTAACAACAATGGATACAATGTGTGCTTTTGATCTGCTGGCTCTAGAATACAGGATTATGCAACTGTCTATTAAGAACTCTGCTGATTAACAAGCACACACCAAATTCCCATAACAGACAGACATAGGAAGGCTGCAGAACACTCCCACGCCAACTTTCATTCTTCTGTAGATTCTATTTTATGATACAGCCCCTGGAGGTTATTTCTTTAACATGGAATGGCATAAACTTGTAAAGATCACCTTTTTACGTCCTTTGTCAAAGGCATGGTCTTCCCTAATGACAGGAGGATTGATACCAGCTCTAGTACCATCTAGATGTTGGAGTTTCCTTTACAACATTCGCCACAGCTGTTTGGTTATGCACTTTTCTAAATTGCTGGAGTTAGTAGGGCAGAAAGAGAAGGCTCTTTGCTTTCTAAAGTGTCTACTCACCTTCTTGGGCAAGCCTCTTTGTGACAGACCATTGTTTCACTTCAGGGCCAGCAAGGTGGAGAGCTCTCTTTACTTCCAGTTATATACCTTGTGATTTGTACCTTTTTAATTTTCTGTCCAGAGTTTTCAAGACCCTTTTGTAAAGGTTGTTTTATTGACATATCAGTTACAAGAAGAGTATTATCCTTAAATGAATAAAATTATGTCTTCAACTGCTAGGACTAACAAGAAAGTTAAACTTCAATCTTGAACCAGATACACACATTTACACACACACACACACACACACACACAGAGAGAGAGAGAGAGAGAGAGAGAGAGAGAGAGAGAGAGAGAGAGAGAGAGCACCCTGATGCTCCAATTTCAGGTCCTGGTCTGAACTTACTGCAGACAGTGGGTTTGTAGCTTCCAGAGTTTTACATTGCTGTGAGAAATTTTTCCTTGATGATTTTAACTTTTTAACCTTAATTTCCTATAGGAATTTGGCTGCATGTGAGACATACCATTTATTTAATGTCTCAATACTGTGACTTAAAAACAAAACAAATGAATGAATGAATAAACAAAAAATAGTCAGGTTGGTTCAATAATTAAGAAATATCAAGATTTACACAATATCAAAGGTAATCCATGAGAAATTGTAGTTTTTTTTTTAAGTCCCCCTCTGTCTCACTGTTTATGGGTTCTGATTATGAATGAAAAGGAAAAAAAAAAACCAATCTCATTCGGTTGATTTTCATTCCACTGTGCATAATTGTTTTTAGTAATGGGGACAAAAATAATTGGGAGGCATTTCGTTTCCTAAATAAAATGTCCCTTGTTTTCAAAGGCAGACATGTTCGGAAGTTCTGAACTGAGTTTTTATATGTCTAAAGTTAACTTTGTAGTCTGAGATTCTAGCAACAGGATATGTCTAGAAGCCATGACATTTGAATATCGTTTCATAACATCTTGGAAGCAGTTTTCTCTCTGCTTCATCCTGTTTTTAGGATTCTTATCTAGTGGGGAACTAACTTAGGACTTCCCAGCACCCACTGCCAAGATCCCTAAGCCTTTCGACTGGCTAACAACCTCCCGTTCTATGTTTCGGTGATGGGGGAAGGAAACCACGCTGAACATCTCACCTAAACATGTTTTTGTTTAACAGAAAAGATGACTCCACAGACTGAGCGCTCCTCAGCTGTGACCCCAACACCTGAGGAAGAGCAACAGATGGGAAGGATGATGGCAAAGCGGGCAAAAATCATCAGGGAGCTGATACAGACAGAGAGGGATTACGTCACAGATCTGGAGCTGTGCGTCAGAGAAGTGGTCCAGCCTCTGAGAAACAAACAGGTGAATGCAAGTTTGAGTTTGCTGTTCTCTTCTTAGTATTTTCTCCCATGTTCTAAACAGATATAGCAGCACTCTGAAGTCCACACACCCAGCATCAGTGGGGTGGCGGCTGTATCTTTCTCAGGATTCTAGTCCGAAATTCAGAGAGGTCACGAGGTCCTTAATTCTGGAATTGAGGAGGGGAAGTGCTGTCTGTCTCCCTATTTACTAGAGGAAACAATATTCACAAACTCGATGAGAAGGTAATTTGTAGATTTTTTTTTTCCCAGCATGAAATTTCTGTGTTCTTCTTTGAGATTTCTCTGAAACAGGTAACAAATTTGGGAGACAGTCTTGGGTACAAGTTATTTAATTCAGTGATGATCATGGATTCAAAAGAGAAAATGATGTAAGCCCCGCCCCCACCCCTCCAGAGCTCAATTGAACTTATAACTACGGGGCTAAGTAAAATTCAACACAAAAAAATTAACCAGAATGTAAGTTTTTTCTCTTTGGTAGAGGTTGACCTAAACAAAACTCCAACTGTTTATAAATGAATAATTCTTCCCCCTTAAAGGAATTTTCTAGGAATTATTTTGTAGGGTGTTCAGCTTAGAACAGAAGCTATTTCATTTACTAATTTTCATCACTTATTTAATAAATGCATGGTCATTGGTGCTGTTCTCAGCACAGAGATCTTGTGAGGCTTGCTCCTTAGTCCAGGTGAGGAAGTCATACAATGTGTAAATAAATAAGCAAAATGAAAACATGTTAGATGGTATTAAGCACACCAACTAGTGCAGAGAAAGGGGTTGAGGTATGGAAAGAGAGTGGTGGTGCTCCCGTTGCAAGTAAAGTGATTTTAAAAAGACCTTTCTAGTGTGTGCATCAGAGCAGAGAATGGAAGGAAGGAAGAGCAGCTCAAGGCAGGACAGAGACAGGAACAAAGATCTCAGCACACTTGTAAGTCCTTTTATACAATCCAAACTGTTCAACAATAAGGAGAAAATAACTGTATAAATACATATCAGCACTGACATGGTTGGGGACTTTCAGCATTTGGGAACTTATTCACACAGACACAGACAGACAGACAGACAGACAGACAGACAGACACACACACACATACACACACACGCGCGCACGCGCGCGCGCGCGCACACACACACGTTTTCATAGAAAGGTATACAGTTTTATAAGTATATCAGTTTTATAAGTATATTTTCATTCAACAACCAATTGCAAGTCTTTTCATGACTTCTAATACTTGTAAACGTATTTCTGCTATTACTGATCCCTAGATAAATATTGTTTTTTGTTTATCTGTTTGCTTACATCCTTAGAATAGAATCTCAGAAATGGAATTTTTAGAAAGCGTATTAGGACCGAACATGGTGGCACTTGCCTTTAATCCCAGCATTCAGGAGGCAGAGGATTTGTGATCAGCCTTTCTTCATAAGTTTCTGGCCGTAGAAAGACTCTGTCTCAAAAAACAATTTAGTTAGGGTTGGGGTTTTTTGTTTTTTTGTTTTTGTTTTTTGATGCTGTTGTTTGTTTTATTTTGTTTTTAATGCCAGCTGCCAACCAAAATTCAATAGTCCTGATTTTCATCCCTAGCAGTTGGGAGGTTTTTTCTCTGTATCATTCCTCCTGAAAAAACAATCTTCTTATATATTTCTTAGTCTTTATAATTTAGTTCCCTTTCACATTCTTAGCTTTTAAAAAATTATTGTTTATATATTTGCTCATTGTTTTATAACACTTTTTCGAATATTCTTCGTCCTTCCTACATGTTGTGAATAAGTTTCTTAGTTTGTCTTTTGCCTTCTAACTTTGGGTAAGAGTTAGGGTTTTTCTTTTGTTTTGTTTTTTGTTTTTTGTTTTTTGTTTTTTGTTTTTTCATCAGGTCCATGCATTTGGTTCAGGATTTAGTTCTTAGTATGGACCCACAGTTATAAAACTGTTACTACTCAGTTGTACTAACAATAATCATTGGATTCCCACCTCCCCCAGTATATGTAGCCTGCAGAAGCAGAGTTTCTAGTACCTTCCTTGTTCATGCCCAGCGATCTCTCTTCAACCCCACCTTAACCATTTGCTCCAGGGTCTTCCCAGAACCTGTAACCACCCAAGACATCTTCCAGCTTACTGTGTCACTGGCCTTGTCTTGTCCCTTTCTTCCAATTCTCACTGGTATCTCCAAGCCAATGCCCTTGTCATCTCTCCCTGTCCTTTAGGTCTACACCTGCCTCAGTTTTTTGAGCCTTTTATGGCAATCACTCCTGGCATGTGGCCACCATTTCCTTTTACTTTCCACTTCCTTCCCTGGAAAACAAAATCCTGCCCTGGTAAAGTTCAACTTTCTGTGTACTTCATACTTTTACTCATATGATGAAATAATCTTCAAAGTCAGTCTAATTTGCTAAATATCTGTCTGTGTGATAAGTTGATGATTAGTATAAAAAATACAAAATATAAGACGATGCATCTCCCGGAATTCCAAGTCCTTGTTTGCATCCAATGGAATAAGAAGCTCACATGACGATGTTGGCAGTTTGAAATCACCTGCTATACTGGTGGGTTGAGCTGATGCTGCTCACTAGATGTCATGGTTGGGCTGAGTTCTTGTGCATGGTCTCTGAGTTTTGTTTGTTTCGTGTCGTTCTTATTTTCTACTTTCATTTCTGTTGCTACAGTAAAATAGCCTGGCAAGAAGTGACTTACAGGAGAGAGGGTCCCAGGTCATTGTGGGAAAAGCATACAGGCTTGAAGCAGCTGGTCACGTCACATACAGGGGAGAAAAGGCATGCCTCCTTATTTGTGCTCAGCCACCTCCCTGTAGCTACAAACAATCCAGGATCCAAGCCCAGGGAATGGTGTTGCCCACAGTGGGCATTTCAATTAATATAATGAAAACAGTCCCTCCCAGGCATGCCCACTGGCTAACCTGATGCAGACAACTCCT